TGAAGTGGTGCTCCTCCGCAAGACGAACTGAGATCCAGCGACTGTTAAGGGCTGGAGACCGATCGCACTTCTGTCATGTTTGGGTAAGGGACTGGAACGACTCTTAGCGAAGCGGATGGCCCATCTCGCGGTTACGTTCGACGTTGTTGGATACCAACAATTTGGAGCGCTTCCTAAAAGATCGGCAAACGACCTTGTCAGCTGCGTAGTCCACGACATTGAAGAAGCATGTACCAAGGGATGGGCGGCCACATTCACGACTCTGAATATCCAAGGAGCGTTCGATGCAGTACTCCACAACCGTTTGGTGAGGAGGATGCGAGATCTGGGATGGCCGGACTCAATTCTCCGATGGACGGCTTCATTTCTTGCACATCGAAAGGTACAAGTCCGATACTCCGGAGGGGTAACCGGGCAGAGAGAGCTGGTTTGTGGGGTTCCGCAGGGATCACCAATATCGCCACTTCTCTTCCTTCTATACATGGTAGAGCCTATGCGAAGCGGCAACCCGGGAATGAGGTTCAGCTACGCAGACGATATCGGGATACTAGGATTCGGGCGAAGCATTGCCGATTCGGCCGCTTCTGTACAGAAGGAAGTGGATCTTCTTCTGGAGTGGGCAAGTACCAACGCAGTCTCCTTCGATACCAATAAGTCGGAGGTAGTCCAGTTTCCTGGACGGAAACGCGAGGAGCCAGTGGGCATTCGTGTGAACGGCGTGGTTATCGAGCCAGCAGACCAAATACGCTGGCTTGGAGTCACCTAGACCCGCGGCTAGACTTCAAACATCACGTCACGACGTGGTGTGGCAAAGCTCTGAAGGTGGCCCAGCAAATGCGCCGCTTCAACTCTGCGTATCGAGGAGCTGCCCCTGCAGCACTGGTTCGAGCAGTGGACACGTGCATTGTCCCCATAGCAACCTTCGGAGCAGATGTTTGGTGGCCCGGCCTCAAACGTCCGACCAAAAGGGGGATCATCACACCTCGAACCAGCATTTTCTGCGAGATTATTGACAAGGCAATCTTGACAGGACTGCGCGCTGCCCTCCCGGTAATGAGAACTACACCGAATCTTGTTCTCCACCGAGAAGGAGGTATCTCAACAGGGAAGATCATTCTGGAAGGGAACCGACTACGGCTTTCGGCTCGGCTCCACTCACTGGACAACCGCCACCCGCTCCGGACTCGTGCCGCCGTGTGTCCAAACAATGGAACAAGGAAGTACAAGAAAAATGCTCGGGCACCCAAGAATCCGGAGATCCAGATGTCAAGAGTGCAGCGGGCCTACTGACAACTCCCGGATGCGGAAGACGCTAAGCCTCTGCCGCCGCCATGCTATCTGTCGAACTTCGGCCCAAGGACAGAAGAGGAGGACAAGGTTGTTGAGCGGATTGGTTTGCAAAAGCTTGTGGCTGTTAGGCACAGATTGTATCACTTGGTGAAGCGAGTGGGAAAGTAAAGGAGCCTGTAAATCTGTCGTGGAGAGTTGTTAATTACTCCCACTAGAACACAGAGTGCTATATAAACTATATTTTGTAATTATAAAATCTAGTGGTTGGTATTTACGTCAAAGCGCATTAATACTAACCTCACAATTAATGGGAGATTAGTGACGTGTATTCTACAAATCCCTGTCTTTACCATAATTGGAAGCACCAATTTCAACAAAGGTAACTCGGTTCCTTAGAGGTGTATTGCCATCGGATATCTGTGCCTACTCGGATGGATCGTCGGAGGGGCATGGTCGCTCAGCATGGGGGTTCGTCTTGAAGAGGGATGGAAAGACTCTATTGAAGGGATGTGGTATCAAGCATGGTGGTGAAGTGCTCGATGCGGAAATACTAGGGGCGAGGAAGGCCCTGGAAGCTGCGCTAGGATTGTTGGAGAGAGAGAACGGGAGAAGTAACGGCAGGCAGTGGATCAACGTGTTGACGGATAGTCAGTCTGCAGTGAAGGCACTGCTGACGGGAACCGCTACACCAAGTCTCGACGATGTACGCCAATTTAGGGCGCTATCAGAAAAGGTGTGGATCCTAAACGTAGCAGGCTACGTTATGTAATATAGACTACTAAATGCGGTTAGCCTATAATTAGTAAGCTACGCACAAAGTGTAGATTTCGGAGTTGGGAGTTAGGAGAGGAGATAGACAAATTTATTAGAACTCATGCTTAACTATTGCATTCTACGGAACTAGCTGTAGTAGAGCCACGAGTTATATTTGTCACCATCCTGTTTCAATTGTGATCGATCGAAACCCACAAAGGCTCGAGTCTCGGTTCAGTGGATACCAGCCCACTCTGGGAAACTGGGAAACGAAGAGGCTGATAGAGTTGCACGGTCCGGCCTCCGACAACTTCCAAGTAAAGAGAGCCAGCCTGGCTCCGTCACTTTGGCGTACGTTCGTCGTCTGATGAACCAGAAACGTCAAGCTCTTCTCGAGGAATGGTGGGAGGAAGCATGTCCACCTAGGTATCGAAATCTGGGTCTACTCATGCGACGACGCAAGCCACAGGAGCAGGCACTTTCTCGGCGGTTACTCCGTGAACTGATCTCAGCCCGAACGGGACACGGAAACTTCGCTGCATGTCGCCGTCGTTTCAACAACTTCACCACTTCCATGGAGTGTGCGTGTGGAGAGGAAACATCACCTCTCCACGACATTCACTGTCGACTGCACGAACGTCAGACGCGTCGACTCCGAGGGACAATGTCACATCACGACTTTGTCCAAAAGCTTCTCGGGCCTAAGTGCCTTGAGGATTTTACAAATTTTGCGCAGGAAACCGGCTGCTTCGGTGACTCACCTGCAAGTCCGTCACCAGCTCTCAGCGGAGACAACATTAACTAGGTCATAGCACAAAGCATGACAGGAAGGAAAACGAGACGAGGAGTGTCGCTTTCCCACCTCAAATTGGAGTCTTCGATTTGGAATTTTGGTTATGGGAGTCTGTGGGAGCATTTATATTCTTTCTTATAACTAGCTACTGGTTGTGTAGTGGGTCACGCAGTGAGACCGAGTCGGGCATGTGGGAAGCATGATCTTGGCCGTGTGCACCGATCCTTGACTCCTAGGAGGAATAGAGCATAGCTTAGGACCTAAAATTTATATAAAAAAAAAACGAACATACAGCAATCACGCTCTGTCAAGACTTTTCTGACATTTCAGCACGACCTTTGGAAGGAGTTGGAAGGAGGCTAGAAAGGCATAGTGTGAATTCTCCGAGGTACCCACAACTCTGCAGCGCCCAGCTGGCCGGCCTCTTTGGACGCTTCAGAAGGGGCACTATGTGTTCAGATTTAGTCCTAATGTCGGTATTAGGAGAGCCCTGCACCCAGTGGTTTTTTGCGGTTGCTCCCGGCTGCCATACACCCGCAAATGGCCGTCGTTTCGTTGGCTGGAGAGGGGAGATAATGAAGGTCAAAGGGCTCCTCTTAGTGTATGATCGAATGAGGACTTGTGAGGTGTGGTACTGTTTGAGGGGAGCTGTATGGGAGGCATAGGAGGGGACACACTACTGGCATAGGTATCCTTGGCCTGTAGGCAGAGAGGACCTGCATATCCTACATAGTCTTAGACTCAGACAGGACAATAAAATGAAATAATAATTGCCTCTCAATGCATCAACTTGGTACTCATGAGCCCGTAGCCCAGGAGGGACAACGCCTTTATTCATGGATAGCGCACGAAGCACATGTTGTGTGGCTCGGGATGCAGTTTAGCGGTATGGAGTTGAACTGAAATGCCCACGGCGGTCTGGCGTTATGGAAGCACGAATGTCATCTCTATTACTACACGCCTAATTCCTCTCATGTTGTGCATGTAATTTATAGATATAACTTTGCCATTTGGCCTTAACTTTTAAACATTGACTATTTGCTCACCATAATTAGCGTGTCATAACCGCGCATATGCACCTTCGGGTGCCGTACTCGTCATTGATTGGCGACATCTCGCGATATGTGTCGGATAAAATGCCGGGCTCGTGCATGGCATGTGTGACAGAAACTGAGTTGCTCATGAATAAATCGATTTATTAAACTATGTGAGGAGAGAGGAGAACTCTAGCTACGACTAACGGGTATTTGTAAGAATTGGTCCCCTCCGTCAATCTCCAGACTGATGACTTCTCCTTAGGCACAATACTTGCTACCCAGCCACGCATTGCCAGGTGTTACTTAGTTGTAGTAACGCTTCGACCTCCTGACTAGTAGTGCCGTCTTGTTTAGCTTCATCTATCTCTCCCCATGCAGCTTTGTCGTAAATATCCTCAACAATATGCTTAGCTATTCACCTAAGCACAAACAACGGTCAAACCGTAACAGCACGTAAAATTATCTCATAGCAATACTTTTACAGAGGTAGTGGTACGTGAAAGTTCTATATTTTACTGTCTAACCATAGATTCGCTTGACAGATGAGTCAATTTGTTATGACTGGGTTGTGAGCAGATGTGGAATGGTGTGTAAGTTTCATGATTATGAGCGTGCGGAAGATATCTTATTGGACAAATATGGGTGACTAGCGATGTGCGAGGAGAAAATTTGTGTGAATTGGGAGCAATGAACTAATATGTATAGACTCAATCCCTAGACTGTCGTATGTGTGGACTTTATGCTCTCTATGTACATGGTCCGGCTAATTTACTAAGCTAGGAATAACAGGGAATGAGTAGAAAGTGATGATCGGATAATGAGAATATGAATAACTTAATTGGAGGTTACATCTTTACTAAAATGGAAGATAGGACTGATATATGTACATGTTTCGAATCCACAATCCAGTTCATATAATACAACCGGAATATCATTTTCTATGCCATGTTGTACTAGCAATACCAAGCTCTTAACGATTATCGTAATGACAGTCATGTTGGGGCTATTTGATCCCTACATCATGTACTAGTACTAGTGCAATAGACAGAGATACACTCATGGCAACTATGACAGTCATACCACAATACAATTGCATCACCTGTACAATCCTTCTGAGAAATTCTCTGCTATGTTGTAGTCGGCATTTTACCCCACCTGGTCAGGTCATGGTAGAGATAGAAATCGTCTCTGACCAATTCTGAAGGAAGTTTTGTCCGTAAAGTTATCCCATTTATCTGATCCAACAGTTTTGTATTTTCATTTTTATCCATTACTTTTTTTTCCCCTGAATATTCTGTCTCCACAATTGGCATTAAAGTTAGTTCATTCATTTCTTTGTTTGGTATTTCACGCTTCTTTTCTAAATTAAATTGATACAGAAATTTGCAGATTTCAAGGGCATTTTGATTTTCGGCTCCAAACTCGGTGATTTTTTCCCATCTTTCCCAGAATGTTGCTCTTTTGAAAACGTGCAAATAGCCTTGGCTCCAGGCAAGGATTTTCTCATCTAGCTTTTTGTTCGTCCTGAAAATTTGATTTGAAGACAGGAACATATTGAGTGGTAATTCTGTCATAATTTTTATAGTAAGAAGTGATTGGTCATTGGGCGGTGCATCGAAATTTTTATATCTGTTTACACATATTTTGCCTTCGTGAACTAGAGTGATAATGTGTGATAAAGAACACACTCTTAAATCTAGTAACTGCTGTATTGTTACGGGCTGTAATGATGGAGGCCCACGGGACAAAGCTGAAATTTGTTCTCGACAAGTGTTCAAATCGAGAAGCGAGTTGCCGAATGGAATAATTTCTTCATTCGAAAAGGGTGTTAAGCCTTGGGTTATTACTTCTTTAACTTTGGAAACTTCCAAAGTTGATGAGCAATAGATTGCATTATATGTGCCTGGCCCAGAGACTTTAATATCACTCCTAATTACTTGAGATTGTGATGCTGGCAATGGAAATCTATCTGAACCTGGAGGTTTATAGACGCCATAGAAAGGAGAGATGTGGCTGTGCATGATAACTAAGCGATTTGTCATCCAGGAGTCCACTCCCGCTAAGTAGAGGACTGCGACTACGCAATTCATGGTGACGGGGATTCTAAAATTCTTATTAAATCTTGTGAGTATGCTGTTGCAAGTTGTCATTTACTTGGTAACTTACTGTGCGGTTGCGTATTTGTGAGTTGTTGTGTCGATATCTCAGTCGCTCAGGTTGATTATGGTCATAAATCAGCGTTTATTCTTTGGCCTGGTTGAACATGAACATGAAAGGACAATGTTATTCAGTGTAGAATTAAGTTTGAGCGTCATCTTCAGGAAGATGAACTATCGACTTTCAGCATTGTAAGCCGAAATTTGATACCAAGATTCCCGAGAAAGGATCAAAGCATTGAGGTACAATTTAACTTTAACAAATATCATCAAGTGAACTATTAAGAGACCAGAACCCTTGGCAGCAAAGCTTTTAGTTCCATCTCATAGTGCACAGAAATGTAGTCTCGCGCCGGCCGCTAAAGAACAGAGGGGAACGAAGACTATCCAGCAAACTCTCTTGACTACACCATTTTATTTCCCCAAAACCGGAGCGAATTCCCGATTTTCCCATTTCATCTTCCTGTATCACTCGCCCTTTCCTCATCACCGAATACATTCAACATAATAAGTCTTAGACAAGGTTATCTTGATTGGTGACAATTGCTCTAAACTTATGGCGCCGCTGGAAGTGAGTCAGTTTAGACAAGAAAGGCTTGCTTGATCCATTAAAATGCCTTTTAAATGACACCCATTGCACTATCTGTGGAGCTTGAGTATGATTGGGGCCAAGCGGGATAAGATTAGCAACGGTAAAAGTACAAAATATGTTCCTTAGTGTCCGGAGCTATGCCGAAATCTCTCCAATTACAGAGTCACGACGAGTCTGGTACCGCGGAAAAACAAAAATAAACTTTTAGGCAGGCCTTGACGTTAAAAAACTCCTGACTAGGAGAATAATGACTGATCAGCTGTCCACGGTTTCCTTTACGAACCTGGGAGTGATATATTCTCCCGGAGCCAATCTCAGTACAATTCCGCAATACCAATGAAGTTAAACTACGAGGTAATGATTCAAGACTCTCTATCAGTTCATCCTTTCACTCGTTGCGAAATCAATCCTCACCAAAGCCTCGTCAAGCTGACAAGTACATCCTCATTTCGATAACCCTACCTCTCATCGACTATTCTCTGGCCTCAGATGACCATCAAATAAACGCCCACGACGATACGAATACCCATAGGAGGACAAAAATCTGGAAGCACAAGTTTAGGAGTTAGTGCTTTGGGGCTATCGTTAGAGAAATCGGGAAAAGCTTACAAGATGATGCAAAGAAAGGATACAATATCGACGGGCGTAAGACTTGAAGTTTTGGCCAGGAGCTTTACAAACCGAAGAGCACTGTGCGCGCCAAGATTTCGATTGTGAGAGTGCCGCTGACACTAACAAAAAAAGGATGGAAGATGTTGTGGTCCGCCACCTCGTGGATATTTTCGAAATAGTTTGAGCAGCCTGAGCACCTACTCCATTTGGGAAGGAGAAGCCTGCGATCATATTAAGCGCGGAGACTAGTCAATGGACGACGAAGGCATGTCTGGATAACTCAGGGATTTTGAGACGTTCCCCTGGGTGGGTATTCACGGATGAGGGTTGACTTGGGGTGAAGAGGAAACCGCCATAACTTCGCAGTAATACTTGCAAAAAGAATCCAAGGTATGAGTGTTCTACTTTTTGATTGAATCATCTATTCTGTACTTTGTCTCTGATATCGTGTCATAACTAGATAGCTGCATATGTAATTAAAATCTGATGCAAAAATATGCCAAACTCCCACCCCAACAAACCCATTTAATTATAATCTTGTCTGTCTGTTCTCATATCTCTTATATCTATCATAAGTATCTTCATTCTGTATTTTTATGCCACAAATCATTTCCTACTGTAGGTATTAGTGTTGTCGTGGGCGTATTTTTAGAGACCAACTGAGGTCGGGGGCCGAGTCAACATGAAGTGTGGTCATAAAATTCAAGCTGCAGTAGAACGTGATTGTAGACTTGATAACCATCTGGTCGAATACAATATTGTCGGAATTGCATGGCTGAATTGTTTGCAAGACTCCAACTATAACTTGTGGGCCAATTTATTTTACTGTTGCTAAATTTGATTGAGCTTGGCTCCGGAGGGGATACTCCCCTGTAAGATACGTAGGAATCGATGGTGAGTTATCAGTTTTCATCCTGCTCGGCTCTTAATGCCAATGTAGAGATGAGAAAGTCCGATGTCGATGTCTCGTGTTGTGACACGCATATTATGGCTAGCAAGAACTAAAAGTATTAAGATAATAAAGCTTGAGAACTACTTACTTGTCCTTTTTTGTATCGGATCTTAATTGTGTATGCATCTATCTAGCCATAACAAATTGCATGTATTGCGTACGCAAGATAAATCAAGTATTACAAAACATGTCATCAGTGCCTTCATAAAGCCAAACCTCCATGGATATTCCAAACCAACTCCAAATCTGTAGATTTAATACCGCCACACTTTGGGAGGGTTGTGGGGGCTTCTGATATAAACAATGAATTCTCCAACTGGTAGCCGAAAATTTCCTCCATCTGAATTAACTCGCACTTAGCTTGCATATCGGGGGCTGTGAGCCGCCATGAGAAATTGCAGGAAGAACAATCGTGAGCGCTCTCTTGATACTTCGTAGCTCAATGTCGTGTTTTAATTGAATCTCATTATCCAACTTCGCCTTTTGCCGGTTGGAATTAATTGCAAACCTAACCTGACTTCTCTCATTTGGTGCCATTTTCGATGCACAAATTTGCACAAATTTGCACAAAAACTTATTCGACCCATATAATCACGATCTAACAAGGTCTATGCGACTTACATAAATTTATTGGTTGAGATAGCTGGCAGAGGCGAATTCAACAACCTTTCAGTGGTGCTGGGTAATTGCTCAATATGCTCTGCATATCTTGGATAGCCATAAAGAATCGTATCCGCATCAAAGTGTAAATCAGACACAAGCCTACATTCATTTAACGATTTCCCAATGATGCCGCCCCTACCATCCTCATCTGAGTCCTCAACCTCTTTCTAACCACACATCATCTCGCCTCAACGACAAGTAAAGGATTCGCTCCAATTGCAAACGGGAACTCGCCTTATTTATTACCTGCCAACTTCCACTACAAATTTACGATGCTACGTATACCCGCAATGAGGAAAGTATGTCATAATATACAACGCTTCTGCCTTGGTATATGTAAGACTACTACCCCAATGAGACAATAAACTCGAAAAAGGACAGGTAGCTAGAAGAAATAACAATAGAGAGAGCAGAACGTCGATGGGAATGATGGAGCTGACAATATCGAGGGGTTTGGACTTTGTAATAGTTGTGGGCGCCAAGACCAAAGTTTCCACAAATCAGTCAGGACTTCTATTGTCGATGAGTCTATAGCACTCTCAAGTCCCCCAGACGGCACAATAAAGTTTGCCCAAGCTTCTTTACAGCAAATACACTCTATCAAGACTTTTCTGACATTTCAGTACGACCTTCGGGAAGGAGTTGGAAGGTGGCTAGAGATACAGAGGGTGAATTTCCCAAGGTAACCATAAGTCTGTAGCGCCCAGATGGCCAGTCTCTTCGAACGCTTCAGAAATTTCAGTATATTTTTGGATTTAGCCCCAATATCGGTATTAGAAGAGCCTCGCACCCAGTGGTTTTTGCAAAACCACCGGCTACCATATACGCGTAGATGGCCATCGCTTTGTTGGCTGGAAAGGAGAGATAATGAAGGTTAAAGGGCTCCTCTAAGTGTATGCTTGATGAGGACTTGTGAGGAATGGTACTGTTTGAGGGAAGCCGTATGGTAGGCATGGGAGGGGATATACTACTGGCATAGGTATCTTTGGCCTGTAGGTAGAGAGGACTTGCACGTCATGTATAGTCCAAGAACTAGAAAGGGCAATGGCAATTATTGGTCAAGATTGGATGAAACATCATAGTTGTAGTGGTTTGGTCCTTCATCCTTCCTACTCTTAACATGACCCAAGCATGACTTATTCTCCTTCCATTCGACAAAGCTGCGCCGAACTAGACCCTCTTATTACGTAGCACGACTAATCTTCAAATCGGGTTCCATAATTAGAGTCAAACCAGTGAATCTTCGACGCAAGCTTTCTAGCTTATTCTGCTAAGTCCGTTATTAAGGTATTACCATGAATCTATATCGCACAACGTCAGCCATTTTCAATATCGCGACAATTCTCTTCTGAACTCAATCATTCAGTCAATTTTCGAGTGAATAACAACTTGGTATATATTATTTCCAAGAAAGAGTCAAAAATCAAGCTTCGCCGCCACCATGCATTGCGTATATGCAATTCTTTTCCAAGCGGGGAAGGATGCTTTGATGACGGATCGCCTTGTTATCTTACACGACGACGGAAACCCTTTTTACGGCGTTTACAAACCTCATTCCGAAAACTTATTTCCATCACCATCACTCCAGCATAATTTGATCATCAGTGCTAGTAAAGTTAGTGGGCCTGGCACATACAAGTCCCTCTACTGTTCACCAACTTTGGAAGCTCCCATGATTAAAGAAATTATAAGCCAAGGCCTCACGACACTTTCTGATAAAGAGGTTCTCCCACTCGACAAAGTGCACTTGAAGTTGGATAACTGTCGGCAACAAATAATCATTCTATCACAACGGCCTATGCATCCATGCCCAAAAACGCTAAATGAACTACTAGAGTGGGGAAGGTGTTCCATCTCGCACATCATCACACTGGCACACGAAGGCAAGATATTTGTCAACGGATACAGTAATTTTGATGCGCCGAAGCCAACCGAGCCAACCGAGCCAACCTTTTCTATTGAAGTAGATAGAGAGGTAAAGATGAGTTCAATCGTATCATCTGATGACTTATACTTTTGCCCCATCAAAAGTTGTGGTGTTATCCTCGGCTGGAGCCAAGGTCATCTACATGTGTTTAAGAGACACAAATTTTTACAACACTGGATCCAAATTACTAGTTTTGGGGCTGGGAAGAGAAACGTCCGAGCACTTCTCATATTTCTGGAGGCTACAAATGCCTTACATTCCACCGTCACGGGCACCATGAATAGAAATAACATTAACTTAGAGATGAATCCGCTCACACTTTTCAAGATGAGTTCGGAAGAGAGCGAAAGGAAAACTTTAAAATCTCACAGTTTGATTTCATACAAAGCTAAGGGTAGGTTACCTGAAATACCAATCGCTAAGTATGAAGATACTACTCTAGGTACCAACAAATACGAAAGAAATATTGCGATGTCATCGGATCCGTTTAATTTGATATAACTATTACGGATAGGAAAACCAAAACCTCAAGCTAAAAAGACTCAGTCTTTGTGTGTAAGCTCGAATGGCTCTAGAAAGTAAAAACTGCGAGCAAATTATTAAATCTTAACGCGCCGAACTGAGGTAGATGTGGGTGGAAGGATAGATGACACAAATTACAATCAAATATAATTAAATTGAAGTCCTTACTGAAGTTTTGGCTTTGAGGGACTGTTTAGAGTTATCTAAAATCTTTGAAAACTTTTGTTGGTAAGTTAAGGGTTATACAATGAAAGACCATCAGTTCACTTAAAGCCATGAGAGTGCTCTTGTGCGGAGTACGAAAGATAGTTAGAAAGAGATTGATTTTCATTTTTTTATTCAGATATTACTATGCTGATACTGGAGAATGTATTCTGTAATACAATTGTATTAGGTATTATATTAAGGAAATAATGACCCCCCCCCAATCATTGAGGGTGTAGAGCGCATAGATTCAAGTAACTACGGAAGTGAAACTAAGCATAGAATTTGCAGTCACATATATTTCAACAGCGTGGCCCACATGTTAGCCTCGATTATTCTAAATTCCAACATAATATCAGAATTCTAGGATTCCCAAAGCATCGGAAAGAATCATATGCAATGCAGCCATCATAAACTCTTAACGGCTCCAACCCGATAATTTATTCAGACAGCATTGGTAGTAACTGAGTTTGGTTCCTTTAGTATTTTGCGTGGGTGCTGAGGTTCCCTTCTTAAGCGGGTTGGAAAAGATAGGTGAACGACGAGGTTGCATTGTGATGATAATGTTGTCTACTAAAAGCAATATGTTGTCAGGATTACTGTGAAGGCTTGTGAGCCGATAAGTCCTGTAGCCTTCGATGGCTATCGAAGGCAACCAATATTCTCTATCACTCCGAGGATTATCAGCAGATGAGAACTGATAAGAAATCGCCACTGAGGCAACGTAAAGGATAGTCTCAAGAGTATCTAAAGCGTTACCCGTGTGGCAGAACAACCCTTAAGTCAGTTTCATTGCCACTGTAAACGTAGCCTAGATTTTGTTACCTCTGGATATGTATAAGTAGTAGAGGAGACTTGCAGGTAGTTTGCTTCTCCATAAATAAATTATAGCTTTACCTTTCAATCATACAAATGCCCATTTGCTTTCTATATTCGAACGATGACAGTGTGATGGAACCAAGTTGATTGTTTTTGTTTTTTTCATTAACGTGCTAGTTAAAGTACCTACCATTGCACTCCTACTGGAGCTTAAGCACGGGTGGGGCCGCGCTGGATCAGGTTAACTACCATTAAGTAAATCTACCTCGTCCCACCTAAATGACCGGACCACCTCAGACTTCACCCATGTGTTGAATCATGTCAAGCCCAACCGTCCAGGGATCCCCTTTTGGCGCGCCGAAGCGTAAATTCCTCCTCAGCCTCAGCCACCACGCGCCCGAGCCCTTGACGCCTCCGAAATCTGTAACTTTTCCCTTCGATTCATTCCCAGCTTTGGCTCATCTCAGCATCTCCTCATCTCATGCAGGGGTCGTTTTCTTCACTGGAGGCCTCATCCAGTCGCCCACCAAGGCTTCCTCAGTTTGTGTTCCCTTTTGGTTCCTTCATACAGTATCCTTCTATCCTTCAGCCGATCTCGTCAACCCAGAAACTTTGTAGAATGTCCAACCTTCTGTCCTTGCCCCGTCGCTGCCGTACCCCTAACCGTGGAGGTCGAAAACCCGACTGAGAGCTCAAGACCGAGGCACCAGTGCCCCAGCCTTTGTCGAACGCTCTGGTTGGTGTGTCGGCTAAATTTCGTGCGTATTTCGTCGGTGGCGATTCGTCGCAGGTCGAGTTATTGGTGCCCTTGGCCGAGGTGAGGACACATCAAAGGCCGGTATTTCGACCGTACCTTCACAGCAACTGGCAGTTGCGGAGGGTCGGACATCCTCTTGCTTCTTAGTTGGCGATTTGGCTTTTGGAGGTATGGGATTGCTTTGATAGGTGGTGAGATGATTGTTGAGAGGGCCCCGAGATGAGTTTGGCTGGGAATGATTTTCCAGAGAAAAGGAAAATAGATCATTAAGGTGTCGGTTTTTGTGACACGAACATCAGACAGGTTATGGCCTGTCTGCGGTTTGTATCTGGGGTGTAGATGGGTGATTTCGTTGAGTTGTGCAGTCGTGAAATCTCTGCAAGTCGGATCTTCGACCAAAAATGAGCCAACATCACTCCTCTCGATCGCCAACTGGACGAAAACTCTCAAATTCACCCTTTGTCGTGACTAAATCTCAGCTCTGTGAGAATATTTCACTCCCAGGTTCGTAGAGGACACCACTGATATCTGTTCAGCCTTCGTCCCCCCCAAATTGATTGTGATGATGTCGAATGATAAATTTACTATGAAGAAAGCTATGAATAATTTACGTTACGGATAGTGTAGACGAACGCGCTATCTCATAATTATGTGAACAAGGATCTGCTTAGGTAGCCACCTAAGCTTAATCCAACAGACGACCTGAAACAGACTGCCACCTTTCAAGTCGAGGAGATTGAGAACATCTTCGAGTACGACGGCAATAGGGCCACTGGTATAAGTGCGAAGATCGAGATGAATGGTTCCCCGACCACGAACCGGAACTTGAGTACCGCTGGCTACCGTAACAGTTCCTTGCTTATTCTTAAGGTTGGAGAAAAGTTCTTTTTGGGAAGCCATAAAGGCTGAGCTGTCAAAGACTAGAATCCAATGGTAAAGTTAAATTCTAGCTGTATTAGCAGTCAGAGCTCTTTGCTTGACATATCTCCAAGGTGAGAACTGTATGTGCCTTATAAAGTTTTTCATCTTTTTTCCTTTTTGATATTTGTACCTATGACATTCTGAATGCACGTGACTCTTATATTAAAGTCCTGGCTTTTTGCACCAATTAAATTTCTTTAACTTATTTCCTTTGTAGGAGTGTTTGTAGTTGGAAGATCCATTAATTGCAAGGTAAGTCTTAGAAGAGGAGTTATTTACCCATGAAGGCTTTGAAGATTGAAGTTCAAAAACGTATTTTGACTTTGGCAAACTTGATTTTCTCTACTGAGAGAAAAAACTCGATGGGAATTACTTCAGGACAAGTTGATTCGATACATCTAGAGTGTATATGTCTAAAGGAAGTTTTAAATCGAGAAATATAATACATGATAGCTTCCTCTTCGATCATCCCCAATTCAAGAAAGTTGTTAAATAATTCTATCGTTGAAGTCGTTATCTCGTAGTCAAAAATTTCTTCGATAAATCGAACTGCTACTAGAGCAGATTTTTCCTCAGGTGCACAGGCTGTAACCATACCATGATGCTATTCTAATACTCCAGCCAATTGTGCAGCGTCATTGTGTTTGTTATGGTTTCTCTATTGTCCCAAAACTTATTCTGATGGCTCATTACCATCGGCGACAGGACGCGTTTCCTTATCTATATTGTCACTCACAACTTGCCAGTATCCCGCCCCGCGTAAGACGAAAAGCTGAGTGCTATAACAATCTCTGAAAATATATTGGCCAGTAATTATCGGAAGATTTGCCTTAAGACTGCCTACCGTGATTGGTATGGTTAAGTTGCACATGTTTTTTTTCTGAGGTAATGAAGTTGAGATTTTGTGTGTCGTTGAACGATATTGCTTAGTTTTGTTTGGAAGGAGTGTCAGCAGGAGTCGAGACGCTGATCCGAGTCATAATTTTGTTTAAGGATGGAGAACGATTGTGACATTATGATGACAGAAGAGTATCTATGGGCGAAGAAAAGAGGATGAGTGGCAATATTAAAAAATAAATATATACAAGAAAAGCTGCATCTTGGATATTTCCACTCATTCTCTTCTCTATCATCATAGCATCAAAAACGCTCTCCAGCCTTACAATAAGCTTAGGGTGACTTTTGTCAACACCTGTCAGTGGTATCCCCCACGAGCCTCCAGCTCTCACTGTAATGTCTGCAGAGTCTGCAGAGCCGAGATTGAGTAACATCATCCTCACTTCGATGGAGATTGCCACTCGTGTTCACGATCTGTATCGTCTTGATTCCTTAGCACAACATCTTACCACCATCTAATCAGATAGTAGGGTCGGAGCCCTACTCATTACCAACCCTTGATCATGGAGGAAAAGCCATCTGATGAGTTTCGGGAGCGTACCCAGCACCCGATACGGAGATGGTGGATTGGATCAAGATGGCCTCGAATTTTACAAAGAAGGGAGATGTAGATAGATATGCGCACCTCATGTGGCCCCAGCGTTTAAGCCTCTTTTTTTTTTGCATCAGATTTTAATTGCGTATGCAGCTATCTAGCTATGACACAATATCAAAGAAAAGTACAGAATAGATGATTCATCGTTAAGGAAGAGCACTCATGCCTCAGATTTCATTTGCAAGTACCACTGCGAAGTTATGGTGGCTTTTCCTTCACCCCAAGTCAACCCTCATCCGTGAATACCCACCCAGGGGAACGTCTCAAAAACCCTGAGTTATCCAGACATGCCTCTGTCATCCATCAACTTTTCTCCGCGCAAATTTGACCTGAGATATCTCCTTCCCAAGTGGAGTAGGTGCCCAGGCTACTCAAACCATACCGGAGAACACCACCAGGAGGCGGACCACCACACCTTTCATCGTCTGCTTATTTTTATAGTATCAGCTGCACTCTCGCAAGCGAATTCTTGGCGCGCACAAAGCCCAATTCGAAAAACTCCTTGCCAAAATTCGGAATCTCATGCCCTTCGAGGTTATATCCTTTTTTCGCATCATCTTGTCAACTTGTCCTGATCCCTCTCACGTCCATCCCAAAGAACTGTCTCTCAGATTTGTGCGCCACGCTTTGCTTCCTCCGTCGGGTATAAATATCGGCGCAGGCGTGTAATTGGCGGTCAACTGAGGCCAGAGAAGGTCGAAGAGTGGTGTGGTCATTGGAATGAGGATGCACTTGGTCGTACCTGTAGACTCGATGAGACGAAGATAGGAGTCAAACTCGTTGGGAGCGAAATAACGACGTGGAGGGGTAATTTGGATTTTTGCCTCGTGGGCCAACTTCTTTGATATTGCGATATTGGACTGAACTTGGCTCTGGGAGAATATTTCACTCCCAGGTTCGTAGAGGACACCGCGTACAGGTGTTCAGTCTTGCCCTCCCGTTTAAGCCTCGCTTGGCTGGGGATGCAAGGTTTTTGAAAACTTTCCCCACGTACACAGTTTCGTTGATATCATTCTTTTCTTTTGGTAGGAGGTTCCACAAAAATGATGTTAAATCTTACGAGTAAGTAATAATTTAAATGGCTAGGCCCTTTAGGTATTGTAACGAGTATCTCTCCTCGTAACAAAAGAAAACAGGAGCTCTGTATATGGTATGGCCTTGGTCAAGAAATTCCAATGCGCTATATAATTAATAGCGAAAGTAGTTCAATAAAACTAAACCATCTACACATCTGGCCTCAACTAGTCTCCAAATACGCGCCTACGACAAGATGAATAGCCGCCGGAGGAAATAAATTGTGATGTTGAGACTTGGAAAAACAAATCTTCGGGATGGGTGTAAGAGATGAGTAAATATGGGAAGAATGATGCTAAGAAAAGATTCAACCCTGGAAGGAGTAAATTTTGAATATAGGAGTGAGTTTTACATCGAAAAGTGTTATGCGCTACATGACCTCATTTGCCAGAATGCAGTTAACCCTAGCGCAATCGTGGCTGGATTGTGCAGTGGTACATCATCTGAACTGAACTCCCATGTAGATTCTTGATAGCTTGGACACCTATCCCACTCAAGAAAGAAGATTGCTAGTTCAAGTCCAGCAAGAGATGATTAAATTTCTGGAGGCACTCGTAAACATCTAGACTGAATCATGCTCGAATGACCAAAGGTTACGTTACATCTAATCGGTGGGCATACGCGGATATGTGTCAAATAATCTATGCGAAAAAATATATCACATAGTGATATTCATGAACGGGATCCGGAGGAGTTTCTGAAACCAAGGAAGGTATCTTACATTAATAAAAGACAATGACATTGTGTTAAAGGTAGATAGCCAAGGAGATATTCAATGATAAATAAAAGCCCTGATACATACGTGTTATTTAGACACGTAATAGTTGTAGAGAATAGACCCCAGTTAGGACATGAATGTAGTAGAGCAAGCGTTGTACATTTATGTGATCGTTGCGAAGGTAATTTTACATTCTCGCACAGTTTGGTAAATTAATTATTATCACTAACCTGATTTTTGTTACCGAGAACTATGTGGCGATACTAATAAACTCTCCTGGTGAACTAGAAGCTGTCTAGGAACTTTTCTACATACTAGTCAAACCGTCTAGAATAGCTCTCATGTCCATAAATATTGCTGGAAATTTTTATATGGTTGGTTCTGGGGTTCAGAGTTCAAGTTTGAGAGCCATGCGAAGTTGTATTTTTTATGCTTAGATTTCAATGGATATAATAGATGATAAATCTCAGGGTCGCTTTTCCACAACTAGGCACTCCAAAAAATTGCCTAACCTGATAGCTGATTTCTCATTATCCTGAATGACCACCAAAGAAATCGTCCCATAATCATAGTAAAGATGATGAAGACTGCCCTCTTCGTGCTAAGTTTTCATCTGTATAGACGTTAAAATACGTATTGTTCCGACTAAGGGTTTTTAAGAGTCCCAACCCTCGCTTGTTTTGCCAAGATCTCTTCTAACTCTCCAGACTCGGGATCCCACCCCTCGGCCCTGGGAGCCTTCAAGTTTTTCTACCCAGGGAATTTCTTTGAAGTTTGTATTAAAAGTCTTCCTGCACTCAATCTTACAATCTGTTTCGGCTTTGCCTTCGAACTTGCTTTGGTAACTCTTCCCACTACCATATTGTATGGTGCTACCCTTCTCTAAGGCAGCCCTCGAAAGGAGATCTTCTGTATATGCCCAGCCTGGTGTGTCTAGCTTTCCACTTAGAAGAATTATAGACTTCCTATTCTGCTGAAGCTCTTCAATAAGATTTGGAGAAATTGGAGTGAGAGCTTGGATTCTATGACGAGACACGTCAATACCTCGAACTAATGCAAGACCTAGACAGTATGAGTGTTGAGGATGCAGAGATATTGCATTTGCAGGATTGAAGTAGGGCAGATCTTCAGGAGATCGAAGAATGAGTGGCGTTTCAATTTTACCAACTTGACAAAAGTTAGATTTACTAAGATCCAAAGGAACTTGAGTTTCGTCTTGTCCCTCCAAATCTGAGGACCAACCAGGAATAGCTAAGAGATCATCAACAACTACCACAGAAACGATTGTTCCATTTATTGTTTCAGATATAAGACCAAGCGGAGGCTGCTCTCCATAACACATTATGCCCAATATTCCAGATGAGTTGCCGGAGTATTTAATTTCCCATGGCGGAATGGATGTCAAAGGTCGTGAATTCCAAACTGTGCTTTTTTTATTTGAGAAGTCCAAGTGAAAGTATGACATATACTGCATTGTGCGAAGATGTGCAGCTGTTCTGATTGGGGTTTCACAAATCTGGGACGGGACTGTAATAAAGCTTGTAGATTTATCTGCCTCCTGTAAACTTTTGACCACTTCTGGAGGGCCCTCATGTGACATGTAGATAACTTTGGTTGGCCTAATATTTTTAACAAGATTAACAAGTATTTCTAGTCCAGTACCCAATATCCATCCAGGTGTATTAATGATCAGAGGTATACAGTTGGTATGCAAACGTAGGTCTCGGTAAGTAGAAAATAGGTCTATGGAGCATGCCATAAACAAATCTGAATCCATTGCGGGTGAAATTGCAGCAATTGAGTGCGACTTTAAGACTATATTTTGGCAGCCAGAGACTGGGTGGGAAAAAGGTGTTCCAAGATTCGGTTCCATTACATGAATGAGGGATAGTTGTCCAGGTGGAGAATATTCAGGTTGTCCGGGATCGAGATCTAGGAGTACAGCACTTTGTTGTTTTATTTGATCATCGTATTTTGATAGTAATCTATTTAATAGAAATTTTACGAATGTTGATTTTCCTGTAGATTTAGGACCGCAAACCATGATAGCGTTGTTCTGAAGGGGTCCGCTGAGGCAATCTGAGATACAAATATTCCATTCTGGTGATAATGATAGTGGTTGTACACAAGATTTTTGGGGTCCTTCACTCGAAGAAAAGAGCTGAATATTGCTGAGCGTAACGTGAAGATATAATTTTAAGGCTTACATACGATTTGAAATGTGCTCGACTTGGATTCCTGAAACAGATTTTGGTACTTCGGCCCCAGAATCCCACAATTATCACCCAATAAGCTTCCATAGAGGGGTGAGAGGAACTTCAAATTTTCTAGACCACTTTGGATTGGATGTAAACTTATCTCTGCGGTGCTAATGAAAGTTCCTTTGCTCCTTATAACCGGTAAAGAGTGTGTTGGAAGCGCATAGACTTTGAATAAACTTTTTGATCGCTTGAGAGTGGCACCTAGTAAGGTGATTTCTCCTTTATGAACTAAAATTCCGTATTGGCCAAGGACAACCAGCCGCTGTAGAAATTTAGGCAAAGCTTTTTGTCTAACATGGTACTAACCTCTCCGGGCGCAAGTTTTACATAAATTGATCCATTTTCCAGCTGTCGAAGGTTTCTGTGGCTTGGCTTTATTGTCGATAACACTATCTCTGGCTTTGCTGCCAAAGGTAGTACAGCTTGGGGTTCTGAACTGACTTTAGTATCAGTTTCTTGTCTTTCGTGAGGATCACGTATAGTTACACACCATTTTTGTTTGTAGATTTCCTCAATTTGATCCGAGATCTTAGATTCGTCTTTGGAATCCGAGTCTACGATTGGTAAAGTGTGTTCTTTGTTCTTGAGTAGCCGTTGCTTAGGCGAATTATCTTCGGGGCTCCAATATACTTGGGGTTCGTCGCTTCTATCAGGATATGAATTTTTAACGGCATTATCATCCGAGGGGCACAATTTCGAACTTTCTTGCGTACTAGCATTTGCTAATAATGCTTGTCGGGCCGCAAAAGCACTTTGTCCTGATAAGATTTAGTAGTTTTTAGTGAGAGTGGCAATTTGAACACCTTTGCTTTCCGGTACTATTTCCAACTTACGTCTCTTACTTGAAGACATTATATTACTAATAATTAATCCTACCTGGTATTGTATGGCCTTGTTACTTATCATTACGTGCCATTGAAAATCTCTTAACTTAAGTCACGTGTTGGCCAGCCGAGCCGTCACCAAACAACACGACCTATCGCCGCGAATTCACATGTACCCTTTTTATAACCCTTTGACAGTGGAGGGAAAAACTGAACACCTGTACGTGGTGTCCTCTACGAACCTGGGATTGAAATATTCTCTAAAAGCTAATTTCAGTCAAATTTCGTAATACCGAACAACTTGGCGCATGAGGCAATGATTCAAAATACTTCTCCACGTCAAATTTTCACTCCCAAAAAGATCGAATCCTACCTAAGCCTCATCAAGTCTACAAGTACGACCTAGTACATCCTCATTCCAATGAACACACCTCTCGTCAACTTTCTCTGGCCTCAGCTGGTCGCCAGATACACGTCCACGCCGTAATTTACACCCGACGGAGGAAGCAAGGTGTGGCGCACAAATCTGTGAGACTTTTGTTTGGAATGGACGTAAAAAGATTTAGGACATGTTCTCAAGATGATGCAGAGGATGGCTATAATCTTGACGGGCGTGAAATTTCGAATTTTGGCAAGGAGATTTACCAATTGAGCTTTGTGCGCGCCAAATCTTTCGCTGTGAGCGTGCAGGCGATACTATAAACACCGCCATGGTTGGATGATGTGGTGGTACATCGTCTTGGCTGGCCTACCAAGTATAGTCTGGATAGCTTGGACATACATCTCACTTGAGACAGGAGCTCGCTTGTTCGAATCCGGCAAAACACAACCACTTTTCTCGCGGCGCTGGCACACATAGATGACGAAGGTATGCTTAGATAATCAAAGGTTTTGGATTTTCCTTTGGTGGGTACTTACGGAGGAGGTCGACTGTTTGTGTAAGCGAACATACCCCATAGTGGTATTTGTAAATGAAATCCAGAGTATAAGTGTCTCTTACGTCAATAGAGTCATCCAATATATAAATGTAGCACCGGTCATGTGTCATAGCTAGATAGCTGAATACACATTAAATGATTTAAAGAGAAACCCTCTTTGACAGCAACTTTACTTTGTCCCTCATGCTTAGTTTACCCCTCCGACTTCCCCTCTCCACACCTCTGCCCAACATGGTGGAGAGAAGTCGTTGACAGAGACACTTTTGTCAAATACCTCTGCCGGAGACACAAGGAATTTTGAAGCCACGCTCATGTTCTAAAATATTGCATGCATCCTAGATGACGCATTGAGTGAAAAGAGCATTCTCCCACAACACTACCAAAATCCGTCTCCAGCTCTCAGCGGAGACGGTGGTAACTAGTCGTAGCACAATGCATGGCAGGTAGAAAAACGAGACGAGAAGTGTCGTTTTTCTAACCACAAACTGGATTACTGGGCTTGGAACTTTAGTTATAGGAGTTTACGGGAGTTTCTATTTTTCTTTCTTTTAACTAGCTACTGGTTGTGTAGTGGTTCACGCGGTGAAACCGAGGTGGGCATGCGGAAAGCATGATCTCGGCTGTGTACACCGGTCTTTGACTCCTAGGAGAAATAGAGCATAGCTTAGGACCCTAAATCAATTCAATTCAATTCAACACTACCAAAATCCATTCAGTCAGTTTGTTGCCAATGTCAGCTCTCTAGCACGCCGGCATTTCGAACGCCACGTCAGAGGTTCTCAAAGACCTCAAACTCCATATTGCGCTCCAAAAGCACACAAGCCCTTAATGGACAACAGCCAAAGAAGGTCAGCATAAATGATACGTAGACAATGCTTCCAAAAACATATGCAGACATAGCCTCGACCACAATTACAAATCAGCGCCCTCAAACCGACCCTAAATTAGCAGCGCTCCAAGTACAAACGAGACCCAAGATGCAGCCAAAAATCCAGCTCGAGGAAAATCGACTATTAGTTCGAGTCGGACCTGGCCACCCAGCTCTAATTACATCGCCATATGCCATAATGCTGCAATTAAACGCATTCTTATAAGAAAAGCTAGTACGTGAGATACAGACCACAAAAACTGTATTTGCTATATGCCCAGTTTCAACAGAAGCTCAAGAAAAACTGTTCGCCCGGACGGGCGATATCGAAACCTCCCTCTCGTCTCAGGGCCAATGCAATGTTGAAAAATCGGACAAACATATGGTATGCCGGCTCTCTGGAATATCACGCACCTATGCTATTTTTGATGTGAGTGCTGTAGTTATGAAAGATATAACCGCATCAGTGGTTTCTGAACCTCTGAAAGACCTCAAAAACGCGGCGCCTGTAAATATCCTCGAGTTCCGTGGCTCTAATAGCTCTGAATTCTCTCCTAAAAGTAACTGGATTGTCCTCTACCCTAAAGGACCAACATTGTCTAAGGTCCTCCCACTTTTGGGCGTACGTATCCCCGTAAAGCGTCTACCCCATAGAGTCAGGACACCGCAATGCGGATTTTTTTTTGGCTGGCATAACGAGCGAGCATGCTCTCGTTTCCCTCGATGCAGAATCTGCTCCTCAAAAATACACCTTGAAAGCGGACACGTATCATGTGACCCTAGCAGAGAATACCTTTGCCCACCAAAATGTGTGAACTATCACGGCCCCCAAGCAGCTGACTTTCTAGAATGCCTAATCCGGCCTAGTAATGATAACTCGCTACCGTTGAAGACAAAAACCTTCGAGATTAGAAGGGCAGCTGCCGCAGCCAGGCTAAGATTGAAAGCAGCTCATTGTATAACTACTGGAAGTCAAACTGAGACAACTACCAAAGAAAACATCAATTCAACCCAAGCTCGTTCCCAAACCCCATCCATTATCAGCAGCCTTTTTGCGGAAACGCCAGTAATAACAGGCAGAAGATACGCAGCTGTGGCCTTAGATATCTATCAAGAAAATTCAAACGCAATGTATGAAGATTAGAAACTCTATAATAAGAACACTCTCTATTAATGTTGGTCGCTCTTCAAACGCGCACCAAATCACTCTCCAAATTGCGTTTACTTCTCGTTTAGATATCTTGCTGGTCCAAGAGCCTCACATCTCCAGAAATACTAAACGGAAAATTACTTGTGTCACAGTTCGAATATAGAAAGCAAATGGGCATTTGTATGATTGAAAGGTAAAGCTATAATTTATTTATGTAGAAGCAAACTACCTGCAAGTCTCCTCTGCTACTTATACACATCCAGAGGTAACAAAATCTAGCCTACGTTTACAGTGGCAATGAAACTGACTTAAGGGTTGTTCTGCCACACGGGTAACGCTTTCGATACTCTTGACACTATCCTTTACTTTGCCCCAGTGGCGATTTCTTATCAGTTCTCATCTGCTGATAATCCTCAGAGTGATGGAGAATATAGGTTGCCTTCGATAGCCATCGAAGGCTACAGGACTTATCGGCTCACAAGCCGTCACAACTTGCAAGCATCCCTCGTTTGAATGCTCTACTCCAGTCGATGACTGGAATATCCGACCCCGTGTATTAACTTACGCAAGGAAAGAAAATAATCTTTCTTTCACTCAAGATCGTCCTAATTCCAGTTCAGAATATGGAAGATGGGATATTCTTTTCCTCACTATTAAAGGTCCTGAAAATTCTTCCTTACAAATAAAAATACCTATAATGACCCTCCTGGAGCTACCAATCCAGGAGCAGGAGTTAATTTTCTCCTCTCACTTACAAACATTCACTTCAATCCAAAATTTCTTCTGGCAGAAGACTTCAACATCCATCATTCGAACTAGAACCCGTCGTACAATGTCTCTCCTACAACACAAGCACCGGATTTAATTCGCTGGCTCGAAGATAAAAATCTCTTCCTGTTGTCTGAAGTTGATCTTCCGACCCATAATCTCGGAAATTTTTTAGATCTTTACTTTTCTTCCAGCTCAGTGTTAATATGAGGTGCACAGGCAACAGTACAACAGGATTTAGAAGTTAGCTCCAGCCACTTACCTCTGCTCATAAGAATACCCTGCCAAATATGGAGCATTCCTTCTTCTCCTAGAACCCGTTTTGCAACGATCCGACAGGATATTTTTCTTTCATTACGACACAGTCACCTAGATTCCCTTTCCCAGCTCTCCGAGAAATCCCGCAATACTCTAGACAAGAGGGCAGAAGATCTTATTCAAATACTCTAGAAAATGTTTTTAAGGTTCAGCTAAATTATCCCTACCACATAATAGAGTATAACCACGGTGGAATCAGAGCTGCAGAGAAGCAAGAAAGAAATATAGGGAAAAAATTCGAAATGGAAATGCTGCAAATAAAGACAAAAAAGCTTTTCGCAAAGCTGGACGTCAGTCAAAATCCCTTTTCTTAAAGAAAGCTGTCGACCAAACTTCAAACCCAAAAGATGTCTTTCGTATAGCAAAATGGCATAAGTCAAAGGGAGATTTCCGAACCCCCCTCTGATAGACTCTCATTCCCCGGGTACATCACTGGCCACGACAACTGAGGATAAGAGAGAGTTACTGGCTAGACATCTCCTTAGCAACCTGGCAGAGTTCGAAGATATAACTACATCTGTCCCTTCTATCCCAGTAATTTCTCTACCTTTTCCTGATCTTACCATTCCCGAGATCACAAACGCGATTCTCGGAGCTGGTAATACCACGCCAGGTAAAGATCAGATACCATCAGCAGCTCTACACTTAGCCTGGCCTTTCATTTCAGAACTAGTTCTAGATCTATTCCAGGCATGTATAGACGCAGGTCACCACCCTTGATGTTTTCGAACAGCAATTGTAGCCATGATTGGAAATCCGAATGTAAGGATTCCCTGTTTCATTCTTGTCTAGTGGTAACATTTCACCTACTCATGTAAACTAAGCTAGACAGGTCACATGACCTTCATAGCAGTACATAGATTTCATCTGTAGCTATAGGGTTCATTAGTCAACATTTACAACGTAATACCGTGTCCCAAATATCTTTATTAAGAGGTTATGACCCTTGCGCTTCCTGTGGAATCACGATTTATTCTTCCGTTGTTCTTCTGTTTACGACTCCGTTCAGCAATCAGTTTCTAATACTACGGTGTCCTTGT